ACCAGCGAAGAACGCAGGTGTTCATGTTTTTGGCCAACCCAGGGTCACATATAAACTGAGAGCGGCAGGTACCGTGGGTGGATTTTTCGCTCCGGAATTTCATATGCACATACAATTTGAAATCTTGCGAATAAGATTTGAATAAGATGCGTCGGTCACGTGGCTGGAGTCCCAACCTTCGCCATGGGGGTTCCTAGGAGACCGACTCGGAGATCTGAAATTGTCGTTCGCATCCTCGATTTTTGGTAGTTACGCGCTGGAAGAGAAATAATCAGAGCAATCAGCCTACTGTCGAAGCGAACGATTATGAGACCCAACGTCGAGCTGGTTCCAAGTTCCACGAAGAAGGCATTGGTGTTGTGCAGATATTGATGTTTTCAGCTGCTCGATAATAACTTCATGACAATCTTCGTGCTCGCTTCAATTCTTGACCATTCATGGATCGTCAATTGGATTACTTACTTGTGTGTCCTCATCAACGTGCAAACTGCACTGCCCAAGCACTGCCCTTCCTCCATACACTGTCTGAACGAACTTCGATCGAGCCAATAGAACGTCGAGCATCTTGCCGGTGGCTGAAAAATAATCCGATGAGCAAGGTTCTTAAAGACGTAACTTGAACGTGGCGAGACGGACCTGAAATCAAGTACAGTGGTCCAGGTCCACCAGTATTAAATGTTCGTGTGCTGTTGCATCTGCCAGTGTTGGCACACAAGCGAACGTCATAGTTCCAGGTTACTGCGTTGCATTCTGTCCCATCATCAGCTGGTGCTGTAAGATTGCCAAATACTCCAACAGAGAACGGCCGATTTACTGGAGCATCCGATTATACCTCGTTTGACGGATATCGTTTACGCAAGCTTGTCAGTTAATCCAGGGTCTCATGCAGCATCACACGGTATTTGCCCAACTGACAAGTACACTGATAAGCGACTCCATGTCAGGGAGCCTCATCAATGAGGCGTATGCCTGACCAAGGCGTCTTTCCGTGATGAAAATTGGTTAAAAACATCGGGACCTGATGCCTTACTCGGCGCTCGCAGAAAACGGCGTGCATCATCAATGATTTGGAGTTGGGTAGAAAGACATTAGAGATGCCTGCCAGTGGGAGCGTTGGAACCATCGCGGCCATGATCTAAGGCGAACTGTTGAGTACTGAGTCGCTTTGCATTCTTGAACCGAAGTTGTACGATGACTTGGGACAAAATATTGTCCCACGCGTTTGACTGTCTTGCAATTTGATCTGGAGAAACTAGGTTTACATAAATTTGAAGCGCCATAGACAATCGCCTTAATTATTGCACATCAAGAACTGGTGCCCCATTGAAAAAAATATAATACATTAAGTCTCGATGGAATAAAATGTGATAAAACAAAGCACAACGAAGGGGATCCATCAATCAATGATAACAAAACGACCGAATGTGTACTGTACGTAGACCACACAATTGAATACAACGACAACAAGAACACATATATGACACAAAGGTGAAACATGGACATGAACATGAAAACGCTTTATATAATTAACTTTCTCTGTTGGAACACAGAGACTAAATTTTGTTGGGTGAAGTCCATGGTTGAATGTCGCATTGGGGTGTTCTCGCCCGATGGGATGGGGGAGGGGAGCCAACCGGGGGTGATTAGTCCACTACCCCCAGCCCCGAACACGAAGCCGCCGCTTAGGCCTTCCATGGTGTCCTGAATAACCTGTTTTGAGATACGTCAGAAAAGCCAGCCGGAAGCACATTTCCTTGATATATGCTTACCAGGCACCAACACACTATCCCAAAATCCATTGCTCAGGATATTCTCCATAGAAAGCATACCCATATGTTCGTCGAAGATGGCATATCAGCCATAGTGGGAGGGAAAGTCGTAATAATCCGCAACAGGACCCATCTCACTCGCGAACGAATAATCGCTCATGCCATTGATGCCATTCGTTCCCATCGCTGGATTACCACTGAAGAGCGCGGAATTGTTCATGTTGTTAGCCATGTCACTATGGCTCATGCTATCAGACTGGTCCCCAGATGACACCTCTTCAGGCTCTTGTGGTGGAATCTGTGCGAGCGGTGATCAGGGCCCGCAGGAATGTGCTGTACAGCGCTGGGGTATGATGAGAGTTCACGGCGACATCTGCAAGGACGTTCGCAACGTCCTTGACGAGGTCGATGATGTTCTGCTCGTTCTCGATGAACTGCTGGAACTCCGGGCGGATAAGCTGGAGATCTATGTGAGGATCATGACAAGTGGCGGACGATGATATCAAGTACCTTGAGTAAACTGAGTACTGCGTAAGAAATGTATACGAAATGCGAATCCGGCGAATACTTCAGCATACCCATCGGCGCAAGCTCGTCTCGCGCGACAATAGCCACTGCCGTGGCCTGAGGTATAACAACCGCGAAAAGAAGTGGCCGATATCCACTGCCGAACGCTCCATGGCGTTCTGCAGTCCAAAAGAATTCACGACTAACATATAGTAGTGGAAGTAAAACTTCAATCGCGGTTTGAGATTGCGACATCATGACTTGATTGTCTAAACAAAATGGTAAGCACGATATAGATGATTGCATTGAATAAAGGTATAATTACTGGTTGGCAAAAAGGTCGAGGCAGCCGTCCATTCATGCTGCCATGCAAGTATCTGGGTCTCGATAGTTTTAATGATAATCAAGTAATCGCAGTCGGTCTGTAAACCGGACGGGGTATTAGTCCCCGAATACAGGAAGTCTAGGCTCCTGGATACAATCCGCTGTAATTCCTGGTAAAGGATGAGATCAAATTAAAGATCACGATAAATGAATGCGCACGACGTATGCTGCTAAAGCAGTGTCACCTGGTTGTCCAACGGGGGACTTCAACCACTGCAGTGCATTGCGGATCACAAAGCTGGCAGATACAATGATTAGAGATGAAAAACAGAAATGATGCCAACTTACTCCTCTTTGATAGAGTGAGGCTTTCCCATTTGAGAACTCACGCTTCTGTCGAGGGCAAAGCACAACAACCATGTTCGCTCACGATTGTGGACCTCCTTGTCCCGAGCCCGACCTTCTGGTGTATCTTGCCTGGTCATCGTTGTCTTCCGATGCAGGTTGAGGTCTGTCGCCATCCTGAATGGCAGACGTCACTGAGCACAAACTGTCAACGGAATGAAGAAATACAAACCTAATGGCCATTCCCAGTAACAACCATGTCTTGTCGTACTCATAGCGCTCTACGGCACCACATCCCCAAAGAGTGAGGAGGAGATATGCCTGAACAATTTCAAGGGATTTATAACCTTTGGCAGGTACACTAAATCGCGAGCTTCTGTGCAAGTTCTGCAAGTTGCTGGTGAAGTTCCGGTCGCTGGGTGTAAAATTTCGATGATATCGCACAAACTGCGAAAGATAAATCGCCGCACATATGAGGGGTTGTAAACTTACTGGTTGTCAGTAAAAATGGGCGAACGGGAACAAACGAGCGAGGGCGTGTGGAACTCTCTATCAAAGAGCTCACAGTGCACCTACAAAGAGTATTTAGATACGGCACCACATGGCGTGATAGCACGTAGTACGGACGTTCAGATGGTCAAAAAAAGCTAGCAGCCGATCAGATCGGCGTCAAGATGTATGACACACAATACTCACATATCAAATAGCGCGACCACTTGCTCGGTGCTAACAAAGCTCAGCATCTCGGGCTGAATCTGCCGTTCGATATACAAGCGTCGCAAGGGGAGTATTGTCATCGGGCCTAGAACGTTGCCAATTTGCCAAATAAACAACGTGCGAAAAAGTGGCTACGAACCTGGCCTAAAATAATTATCACTAGCCACACCCAACTTGTGGTCAGGATCGGGATCCGTTGGGCGCGCTGAGAACGAGGACGAGATGCCCTGGGCACGTCGGTTTGCCAAGCTTGCCTCGGCAAGCAGCCCGAGGGGGTTAAGCGAGTTATCGGGAAGGGAATGAAGCTTTGGGGAAGCAGAGGCATTGGCACTTGATGATGGTGGATAGGCAGACTGGGGAGGAGGCGACGGTGTTTCCAGAAGCACCCGAGTTTGTGCAGCTTGACTTGTCGGGGAGGGCGATCTTGACACCATGCCAGAGACCATACTCGGATTACCGATAGACTTTAGAACAGTGTCCAGAGTTTTCTCCATCTTCTTTAGTGAGCGAGTGGAGGAGCTCGTGTTTTCTTGGACTTTATTTTGAGTGTTGGCCATTGGTGCAAGATACAATGAAATTGAAACATACTTGGTGGACCGTTTGCCTCGATTGGACTCCTCGAATATGCACTCGTGGTTCCCACTAATGCAGCGTTGGCAAGGGGGGGCCTTGCTCAGCACCAACACATTTCATTTTTAGACGCCGACAGACCGTACACGCGCTAAACAGCATGTTACGGCTCATGCGACCTAATTGAGTGAGTGAGCTTACCGTGAACCCCTGGTGGTCTTTGGCTTCGAGTCGTCTTTGTCAGGAGCAGGACTGTGCCCGTCTAAGCTGTCTTCTGAGCGTGCCTTTTTCCTGCTGCTATCACCCATCGCACCGACGAGGGAAGAGGAGGGTCTCTTCCCGTTTGAATTGCCAGGTGAGTAAGACAGGTTGTCGTTTGGGGGTGTACCTATTGTGTCCGATCCTTGTGATGATGGTGAAGGTAAGTTCTGAGGAACTGTAAGGTGGTGGTTGATGTGTTGTTGAGGCTGTTGATATGAGTAGTAAGGGGGGTAGAGCGATAAAGCTGGGTCGATTTGAGGGGAACGAGCAGGAGGCATGTTGGATTGAGGGATAGCGTGATCCTGATGGTGCATGGATATGATGTAGTCAAACCTTGCGGAAGGGTCGAGGTAGTACTGCGGATAGCACGGAACGGGCGATAATGGCATAAGCATGATATCGAGGGAGATAACATATGATGAGAGCATACCTTGTAAGACTTTAAAACCAGAAACTGAAACTGACAATACTAGAACACCTAGGAGACTGGCTCACGCTGTTATGCGCTCACACTCTCAAGCGGAGTGGCACGGTTCCACACAAGGAACGAATAGCCAACCAAAAACTAGGGTACTAGATGAATTTGGAGTTGTTCAGTATCAAGTCAAAAAAAATTAAAAGGACTGTAACCCACGCAAAGAGGAACAAGACCGTTGACTTACAAAACTTCAAACTTTTCTGTCGAAAGTAGAATTAAAATCCCCAGGACAATTCGCGAATAACACTGAATCTGATGAGAGATTTCAGCGCTTCTTGGGTCTTCATCGGTGTCACTCTTGTGTCACCCCTCTGCGACCTCTTCGCCTCAACGCATCTTCGGAGTTTCAATTATCATCAACTTCAGGCAGCCGCATCCCATCCGCGTGCTCCTTGCTTCCGTCTGCTTGGTGCCTGCAGCTATCCCAGGGGTCACAAATGGCCGTCATAAATGCGAACGATCTCAAGGGCTTCGAATAGCTGTGTTGCACAATGTCACACCTGCAATAGTCTGTACACAAACTCGGACGTCCCCTCAGACCTTGCCACCTTGGTCGGGTCTAGACTTCTTTATCTATGTACAAAGATAGACAGCGCTTGGAAATTAAGTAGCTCAGCGCTCAATGTCCACCTCCTTCCAGAATATCCTACAGTCGGTGCTCCCCTGACGACAAAGCGCATTATCGCGCAACCTACACTGGAGTAACATGCCACAGATTTGTACGTAGTCCTAATCTTTACTCACAACTTCGGACTATTGGCACATTCTTGCCATCAATCTGTCGCTTCTCGAAGACAGGGCTAAATATATGTATCGTGAGTTGACACTTTGTAGTAGCACGTGCCCATTTGCCAATTCTTTATGGCTTGTATATTACAGCACAGCCTGCACGACAGAAGAGTGTTCCTCGACGGTAAACAACTCGTTTAAGCTTGGGCATGGACAAACGCCAGGCGCCTGTCCTATCCTGCCCTGCAACCAAGCCAATTGAATGTACGTTTCCACGTCCTTTGTATCACAATAAGCCTAGTCATCCTTTTTCTCAACGGGGTTCCGTCCCCACCTTTACTAGTTCAGTCAAGGTTGCCTTGCTCGTTCTCACCACGAATAATCAAAATCGAGAAGTTCTTTTTTTGTTACAGGTACTTTTTTCTCTGGTGATTGGTACTCCACATCCCGCCGGGGTCCCTTTTTTGGATAGGTCTACACGTGCCGACCGCGTGTCGACGATGGCTCGAAGCCCAACGATTGGCTCCTATCACTTGTCGGTGCTCCTTTGACTGAACACTTTGTTCCGTACCGAGTCCAATCGACATCGGTACACGTAATCCTGGCCTTCGATATTCTTTCTTTGGAATTGCATCGACAATTCGCCAGTGTGGACACATATGGTCTCTCGGTCAGTCAAACCACTCTTCGACGGCCTGGCGGCGCCGCATCAACGCTCGGTCGCATTGCTATGCACCAACCATCATTCGTGGATCGATTCTCCCTTATGTTTGCAAGGCACTCACTCACCTAGACGACAATCCTCTTACGCCATGTGCTCTCCAATCGACATCATGGGCAATTATTTATCCTCCTATTTTCGGATCGGCAACAGCGTCTACTCTAAGCAAGAGATTCAGTCATCATATCGTGGGCGCCTGTGCTCCCATTGGTCTTGTCTACTCTTCGCGAACATGCTTCCCCTGTCGTTACTCATGTAACTAGGTACTGCACTTAATCCAGCTTGGAGATCTCCGAGAGACTCCAGCAGCCGTCATTGGCTTGGGCGGGAGCAAATGATGTTCACTCGTGAGAAGTACTTGTTGGACAATGTGCCATCGTTGCGAGTTTCCTAGGCGCTGTTTCACCACATTCAAAAAGATCAGACATGATTGGTGGCACCTGGATTGGTATGGTCTTGTGTCCCGCATCTAACACTCAGCACGGTCACATCGCAAGATGGTACAGCCAGCTGTAGTGGTCGACATTTTTCACGTAGTCGCTTAACTCATGTCTCGTTCCCTGCTTTATTACAGATTTCTTTCTCGCGGCTCGGTGGTGTAGATAAATCCTTCAGAATGAACTACTATCCACAATCCTGTTGGTAGCCAGCACTCGATACAGAACGATTATTTAGCATCAACATCTCTCAGGAAACTTTGCCCAACTCAAGCAACAAAGTCCACGATGATCCACGCAGAGTTCTTTATGAAAATACTCGTTGCGACGGGCAGACGCCACGAAACAAAGAACTAAAAAAAGAATAGACTTGTCTGTCTTTCGTAGTTGGAGGGCGATTACGCCGACTATTGTGCAGATGTACACATACTGCGCTTGGTCAAAGTTAACTTTGCAGTTCCACTGCGGCCGCCTCGTCCTTGGGGGACTTCCCGCAGGTATACTTAACGTTTCTGGAAGTTCTGCCGCGATGCCGTTCTTCATCGTACGTTTTGGGATTCAAATTAGGTGTCCCCCCGCTACAATAAACCTGACTATCAATTGAGCGAGTTATCCCCTTCCCCCATCATTGACGGAGGGACGACCGTTGGTTCTCGTCCTGCCATTTTAGGCTACTACGCCAGAGGTACAACTTTCACACGGCGAATGGACGTGCTCATCGGACTCATTTTATTGATGAGTCGAAGATGACAACATAAGTAGAGTAGAATAAGTACTTGTATGGATAGTGGTCCTTTGCAAGCGATTACACAAACGTCGAGATGACCGCACACGAGTTCGAAGGCTTCTACCATCGGTTCCCACTCATTCGGACAAAGGCGACAGTATTCCGAAGGCTTCTGGTTCCACCGGTGACCGCTCCACCGCATATGTCGGCCGCCGCTTCTTGGGCAAATATCAAATATAAACTTTTATTTGGATGACTGCTTCGTCGTAGGCACTCCGAGTATGTAGGAGTCGAGTCGAACTCCCAGAGGCTTGGAGGGTATTCCTTGGCATCTGATGTCCGCGTCCAAGTAAACGGTAGTCTGCCTGAAATATCATTGTAGGCTGTCGCGAACACCCTCTAAGTCTGTATGAGTTCCATGCACTCAGACAGACATAGAGGGTGTTCCTTAGCACCTAACGTCCGCGTCTAACGGTATGTATCACAGAATACCCATGAATATTCGGGACCGACGTGAGCCAAGTACAACTGATGGCACGAGGCGTCTGAAACTCGCAGGGAAAGAAGGAGAACTAATTAACGGAGATTTGTTTTCATGAAAACCACGGGTAATTCCGAGGCCAAAAAATGATCCGCGGTGCATAGACGCTGTCAGAGCGCCGGGTATTGGTCACCCCAGCGATAGAGAAATGAACATCACTGTATCGAATAGTCTCCTTTGGATAGGGAAGAAACCTCCAAGACGGGCACAACGATGGTTGAGACAGGGTGAGTCTTGATGTTCGCAAGACCCATTATTGATAAGATAATGATATTTCTGTAAATTGATATTTTGATATTTTTGCAATCAAACACGCTCGTCAGAGTACTATCAAAACAAGCGAACTTGAACGTGCTTGGGATATTAGAGAATTGATTGTGGGCATGTGGTGCGGGGTGATGTGATGTAGCGGAGGCGGAAAACGAAGAGAAGTGGGATTCGTTGACTTCTCATTTGTTCGTAAATTGTTGACACGGCCTTGGCAAATTGTGAACTTATAGAGGGACGGGACCCGTCAAATGTCGCGGTGGAACACATGGATGTCGACATTGACCAAAGAGTCAAAGACTAGCGATTGCGTGGCGTGGATAACCATACACACCGAGATCAGTGCCTGATGCCGGTGAAGTGGTGCTTGGTGGCGGCCCATGGTAATTGATTTTCAAGAGGGTCGCCACGTTCATTTGAGAATGATAACGAATACGTACACGAGGCGAGAATGTTGCAATCTCTCGCTCAGCGTCCGAATGACATGCCACCAATCTGGAGGAACAAAAGCCAAAAATTTAAGAAGAAAATGCTCATGGAACCAGCGTTGGAGGTATGGATATGGATTGTGGACTGAGTCTGCGCTTCAGAGCGTCTTGGTCCTGTACTAGATCCATTCCGTAGGGAGGTAATAATCGCAGCGAAGTAGTAATCAGATTACAGTGGGGGAAACAGACATGGTTCGGTGCCTCTCGACTCGGCGGCCTATGCAAGGTACAAAATTGATAGATGTTGACTGGCGTGTGCCATGAGTTGAGATTCAAAGAGCCAAAGAACTGGAAAGTAACAAAGTAACAGCGTCACCGGGATTTTAGACGGTTTGACCTGTCTTGATATAAAAACTGGAACATGGTTTTATAACAAACCATGCAGAACTTTGAGAGTACGTGGGTAGACTATACCATAGACTACGTTGTAGAAAATCCGGGAGCATTACAAATTCTTTTCGTGGAAAGTGAGCCGAATCCATAGACCATCCGTAGACTTGCGTAGACTCAACTCGGTCTCAGTAGATCAAACCAAACAACGACGTCATTGCCGGCTGTGATCATTGCCTGCACAGCGTCTAGCATATATATTACAACGGCAAGCCAAATGTTTTTCACCATCTCTGCCCCACCACTATTTCTGCCCATCTGCCTCGTCACCGTCTGACCCACCGCTGACCACTACTAGTCACTAGTACTTATGTTGGACCTACACCTTATATTGATTGCCGTGACGGCCGTCTTAGTATAAATTTTGTAGTAGGTGAGTGACTCGATATTCAACCTTTGCAGTATACTAACTACGGCCCACTACTAGTAGTAGTAGTAATGACTGATACAGTCCTGTGTACCAAGGCTGACTGCCGCAACTTGAAGCAAGGCACTCAGCCACGCAGGCCAACAAGAACTGCACACGACGCAACTGCAGCAGTGTTGTGAGGTGGCGGGAGGGTGTAGGGTCCCCCGAGTCGCAGCTGCATCTTTCTCCAGTTGTCACACCCCACAAGCATGAAAACTCGACCATACCACCACTTGCCACCATTAACCCCACGTCTACTCAACTTGACCACCCTCCAGTTACTGCATCGAGTCAGTCACTCCCAGCCACTTCACGAAACTATGCTCGGCCGTTAGACCCCAATTACGCACGGAACTATGTTTCTCGGGCACCAGCGGACATTGGTGGCTGAGCAACGCTTTCAAGCTGACCAAAGTCTGAGCATTATGATCCGCAATATGGTTGATATAGTGCTCTGGTTGAAGGTATAGTATTCTACATGTATTAGATGGTTTCTCGGTGCTGAAATATCACTAGAACATGAACCTCCCCACCTCGCAAAGCTGACATGCTCCACACCTGGAAAGTTCGTGCAGGAGACCATCCGCTATTGATGAGATTCGAGCTCGGGGATTATATTGCAGTATATTGCAGTGATCAGCATGCCTGGATCGAGCAAGATATCAAGACTCCGCTTCTCAGTCCTCCCAATTCAACAATCCTGCTTCGTTCAGTGATCTGACCGACAATCATATGCTACTTGGATTTGCCGAGAGGGTCTCATCTCTTAGTTTGCATGTCTGCGACTGTCCAATCTCCGTCAAAACGATCCTTAGTGCCACGGGTATGCATCTGTCCCGATTGGATGGGATGACCTCGCCATTGAAGCGGCAGAAGGAAATGCCAGTAGCACGGCTCTCATCTCTCGACAGTCACCCATTCCTTTACCGCTTACTAGCCTATTGCCGAGTCCCACTTCGACATCACCTTTGTCCACTCGCTGCCGCCACTCGGACACGTCACCTGGGCCTGTATTAGTGCCTGCGCTAGCCATGGTTCAACCCAACGCTACCATCCCTGCGGCGCCCGAGCACGATTTCCTTGGAAGTATGCATGTGATATGGTTCCCCGGATTCAGCTCTTCGTCAATGTATCAGACGATCAAATGATCCAGGCCCTCTTCGCCACTACATTTCCAAATTGCACCTATACTAAGGCAACATTTTACAAGCATCGCGCCGCTTATCGGCAGCTATCGAGAATTCAAGTGATAGGGTTTGAACGTGCCGTCAATGCGGGATATAGTCCCTGCTGGCCGTGGAACACTCTCTTGGCTGAAATTCAAGCTAATTGCGGCTTCGAGTCTTACTGGTAGTAATAGCCCGGGTAGCATCTCGAACTCGGACACAAAGTGTATGTATAATCTCATTTACTACTTCCATGGTTGGCTAATCCTCGTCCTTCAGGTCCTACCCTGCCTCCGAGGTCTACCAATGAACTCATCTACCACTGACATTGGATTGCCGCTCCCTACAGACCTTACCAGCGAGATGAGTGATGCTCTTGTCTCGCTACTCAAGAACATAGATGAAATGGACAATGATACTGCAGCGGCTACCACTAACTCTGAATTTCCTTTAGATCTTTCGAGTTACCCCCAATTTGATCTATTTAGCACTTGGTTAAATGATCCTTCTCCCGTAGATTATCAATCCTTACCACCCTTACCACCTTTAAATGATCCTTCTCCCGTAGATTATCAATCCTTACCACCATTACCACCTTTTAATTAGAGTAACTACTCTGTCTGTTATCCACGAAATCCAACCGTCTTATGTTGAAAAAATACTATGAGTAGCTAGTCATAATTCCAACTCGAGAGTGAACTGACGGCGGCATCAAAATGTCCATGAAACTTGACATCTGAATGGTGCGATCCCCAAGTGAGGACGGCGGCATCAAAATGTCCATGAAACTTGACATCTGAATGGTGCGATCCCCAGTGATGAACTCTGGCATTCGTTCGAAACACAGGACAAAAAACATACAACAAGAGATAGAATTTCAAATGACAACAATCTAGACAATGTAATGTAATGCAAACAGCACCGGGAGAGTCAATGCACTAGTCACTACCAAACAGAGTTTCCATGGAAATCATCCAAGGAGAATGCCCTCGTCTCTCCGACTCTGAGATAACATAGCGATTCCGACGTTTGATCATCTCGTCAAGATAAAAGTTGTACCGGTGTACAGACATGTCTCGCAGGATTGCCTGATACCCACCTAGCCAAACGTTCGTCTGTTCACAAATTGATGTATTAAATCGCCACTTGCCGCCAGAAATGAGCTCAGGGAAAGCAGCAGGGTTGCAGTGGCGCTGACAGTAGGTGTCAGTTTCCTTGTGTTTCGAGTTGAAATGAAACACGTCAACAGGCATCCCTGTTGCAGCAAAGTGGTCATCACCAATAGCGTCTTGGTGAGCGCGGAGCTTGCAGTTGTTGTCAAAGACGAAGTATTCAGGTGTCGATGCGGCAGTAGGGAATACCGCCTTTGCAAATTCCTTGAGATTAAATGTTAGCTTAAATCAGTAAGACTGCGTGTAACTCACATTAACAGCAGAGACGGCCTCGGACCCAAAAAACGTAGCCCGCGCTAATATCACTCCACAAGGTCGCATAATGAGTTGCTCATTATGGGTGCGGCGTCGACCAAACCTTGCTCTGAGGTGTTTGTTGCCGTTCTCTGGCTTACCGTCACACTCGGAGTCAACAATCACCTCGAGATCTTCTTCTGCACTGTTAGGGTTACTACTACCACTATCCGTGGGCGAAGGAACAGAGTCCAAGGGTAAGGTAACACCAGCCCTCTTGAGCCGCGCTCGCAGCTGGAAGAGAGCTTTCGCGGGCTTGAAGTAGGCATCTTCAAGAGCCTGGTGGTCCGCGTTGGCGCATGTTTGAAATCCAGAGGCATTGAGCTCGTCACAGCCATCAACTGCGCACCGCTGGTTTAAGTCTTGATGGTCCGGACAGAAACGATGACGGTTGGTCATAAGGGGGACTTTGCAGTCGTGCACTGCACAACAAGGGTGCCCGATGGTATTACCATCACAAACGGCTGCTTGAATTTTCGCTATGGCATATAATCAATCTGAGCATGACGCCATGCATCTGACAAACAATTGACTTACATTTTGAGTCGTCGTCGCCGATAACGATGAAGCACAAGTCACAGGCATGCGGGTATGCTTCCTGCCCAATACCTTCCATTTCTTTGTTGCGCTCGCTCAGCGCAACATCAATTCGGATCCGTTGTTGCTCGTCGTGGGGGAGAACAAGGCAACTGTTATGCTCTGCCTTCTCCAGTAGCAGTGAGTAGATAAAAAAACCATTCAGGACGTCAGTGTCGCGCATTCGAAGGGTATACTGCCATGAAAATTCCTCGTCAAAAGCTCGTGGAAGTGTAGCATCAAAAGCACGTCTATTGTTCGAGATGTAGGCGTGCCGTTGAGCAAGTGCATAGTTGTACACGCGAGCGCAGTTCATGCTAGACATCCTGGAATGAAAGGTTAGCGTTATTATTGTCAGAGAAAGACGACATACCATCCGAAGACTTTCGTTGCTGCAAAAAGTTCCAACAGCGCAGCTTCAATATAGAAATGCCTCGCAGCCTGAATGACGCTGGGAACACCAGCATAGTAAATGCGTGTCGAGTCGGTGTTGTTAGTCCAATAGTTGGGGTAATATCTAGCATGACATTCTGAATGAAATGGTCAGTATGCATTACTAGAAGATAAAGAACATACGTCGACAATATGTTGATACCGAATGGACTGGAAGAGAACCATCTCGTAGCGTAAAGAGGCTGGCACGAAATGTATTGACATCCGTGAGAGTGGCTACTTCATCATCGTCACGGTAGTTCACGCATTCAGGATGCTGGCATACACGTGTCGGTGGATACAAGTCGTGATACCCTATGAGGTTTGAAACATGTCAGTGAAAGAAGAGAAAAGACGAACAGCAACGCACCAATACCGCGCACAAGTCCATGACGGTTAAATGCTTCAATCTCCTGGTCAGTTGGGAGTACTGCGCCATGAGTCCAGATAATCTGACGGAATGCTACCCAGCATGCGAGGATAGTCGGTGGGTCTTGACCGAGTGCGCCAGCAAGAAGGGATACGACGACTTCTGGAGGATGGATGGGTGGATGTCGGATGTCAGTCATGCACTGGCGAATGAATGGTTTCGCCATGCATGCAAGCCGAACGAAGGCCATGAGGTCGGGGAAAGTGAGATCATACTCATCGAGGGATGCAAGTAGCTGACCGATGCCCATCATGAAGGGCATCAGAGGGGGACGTCGGTGACAGCGATGAGGAGCAGTTGATCATATACAAATCGAGGACGTTGTTTGGTCGTTCTACCCGTGGCGTCGTAGACTCGGGTGGACTGCGGTAGACTCGGGTGGACTGCGGTAGATTCACCGGAGTTATCCGAACAGAGTCTACCAATTTTCTACGCGAGTCTACGGTAGATTCTACCCATGCACCTTATATGTCCTCTGAGGATCGAAAGACTCGGAGGGGCATATTTTATGGATAGCGCCTGCGGAAACCAGTGTCCTACGCTGTAGCACCACATAAGCCTCTTCAAGTCAGTTGATTGGGACGCTGCTGACTCAGTCGTGCATACTTTCCACAACGTCGACATTGAAGGGTCCTCGTGCAGGTCCTGTAAAGACTGCCGTGCATCATACTCCGCCGCCAGACCTGCTAGAGAATACATACAGACTCCAGAGGCAGAGGAGAGTGCAAGCACAATGGGAAAATACAAAAAAAACGAAAACATTCAGGAAATGTCAGTACTAGTGTTATTGTATCACAAGTACTGAGTACTGAACGTTTAATGAATCATAAATTCCAATATTTGTTCGAACAAGCAATTGCAAGGTGAAAATCGGCAACGCTGATCCCTAGTTATACATTTACTCCGAATATTGACAATTCAGTGGCAGTATCGTCGACCTTCACTTCTGGGCACAGTAACCAGTCTATATTTCATTCAGTAAATCTTCGACACCGACCTCAGTGTAAGTAATCTCAGCTGCAGCTCTCCTAGTACTTGAAACTGACCAGTAATATCCAGGAATCGGATTGGCCACTATTCCGAGATATCTAGATCCTTCCTATCTCTTCCCTCCGAGGCATCATCATCATCACGGTGCTAGTACTCATCACCGCCGCTTACCTCGTTCCTCTTCTCGCTCCCGTCTATTGGACTCAGATATCACGTCCGTGCACCTTGCTCCCCTCCTCGTTAACCACCCCACTCACTCAGCCTCAATTGTACCAATAAACTGTTGCTTTCCCTCCATGTAGTACTGTCGTCGATTATTCAGCGTGTTCCGAGGCGTAACCTGCTTACAGTGGACTCCTCAGTGGATGCCGGTGATGTTTGGGACAAAAATGGACTCTATACGTCGAAGCACTCTCATGCAACCCATGACCATAAGTCACGATGCCACATCTATTTCATATCGCTTATCTAGTCCTCCTGTCTTCGAAAACCCGTACTTATCTACCTGCCTTAGCAGCCCCCCTCACCAGTCTTGTGTACTCTCCTCCAAGATATGCCCAGTTTAACTCTGCCGGAATGTGCACACTACACCCCCCCCTCCAGAAACAAAGGAGGACTGTGAGAGTGTGTCCGATCAATGCAATACATTTGTCTAACGGCTCTCCGTCTAGTGGAATTTGCGGACCTTCCCATCATCGACCTTTCCAAAGCCCATACACCCGAAGGACGCGCACAGCTCTATCCGCAGCTTCGAGATGCACTACGCACCCATGGCTTTCTCTACGCCATCAATCATGGTTATACCCAAGCTCAGGTACGCCTCGTTCTCGTCACTCATGTTCAAAGGTCTCTGAATCAATGTTGTAGCGTGACAGGATCTTTGACATAGCTGGTGTTCCTTTCAATGACGTCTCTCCAGATGAAAAGAAGACATACACTGCCGATGTCGAGAAAGTCGGGTACTATGCAGGCTATAAACCTCGTCAATTCTGGGTGCGTCGTATTCCACAAGGGACAACATTTTCGAAGCTGATTGCTCTCATTCAGAAAGTCGACACGGATAATCAAATTCTCGATCAGATCGAGCACTATGCAAGTACGTATTACAAATACTCGTGTGATCGATGCTTTTTATGCTTCGACAGTAAACCTCAATGTCGCGAAGCGTCCCCATCCCACGGTCTTGCGCTCCTTCCTTCCAGAACTCGATGATTTTGCTCGCCATAATCACTTCAATATCCTCCACCCGATCCTTCGGTCAGTTCTGTCGCGAGTCCCTTGTTGACGTCTTAGCTTATGAACGCTATCATACAGCTTGATTGCATTGAGCCTCGAGCTGCCCGAGGAAACTTTGGTGGAAAAACACAACTTTGACCGAACGGGAGAAACCTCTGGTTGGTCTTTCTTCTTCTGTATCCAGTCCTAGATTGTTGAGTATATTCGCAGTCAGGTTCATGAAATAGTAAAGGCCCTTTCTTCCCAACTGCTTCTTAACTTATGGACTCCTGCCAAGCTATAGGCGCTCAAATGACGAAGAAGAGAAATCAAAGAATGTCTGGTTGAAGGGACACACAGGTACATTTGATGCATTTTTTACTTCACACTCGTCTCCTGAATCGCGCAGACATTGGCAGCATCACCATTCTATGGAGTCAACCTATCGGGGGGCTGCAAATTATGGCTCCCGACGGGAAATGGAAATGGGTCAGACACATTGACAACGGTTTGGTACGCCCGTAAAACACTATCATGATATCTGCGAACCTGATATTCTGCCATAGGTTATCAATACAGGTGACATGATGACATTCTTCACAGGTGGATACTACAAGCCTACGATCCACCGTGTCATCCAGCCCCCCTCGGACCAACGCGCCTACGACCGTCTGGGTGCATACTACTTCGCGATGCCAGATAACGACGTTCGTTTGTTGCCGTGTGCTGAAAGTCCTGTATTAAGGCGCGTTGGTATCGAGCGTCAGTGTCTTGATGAGGATTCGCCATTGTGCGAGACATGGAGAAAGGGAAGGACGACGGCGTACGGGAGGTCTGATCTTAAGAAGGGGGTGGAACGTGGTGTTGAGGAGGAGGTTATCGAGGGGATTGTGGTGAAACATTATAATTGAGTACTGAAGAGCGGCAGAATGTTCATGTGTTATTGTTATGATTGGCTGACTTTTTGTATGGTTTAGTAGCAATATAGATTTCACAGCTGCGTGGACGTCATTCGCACACGAGGTTCTTTGTCAAATATAGCTGTATGCGCTCCACTGTGCTCTCACGAACAATTAATAGGACGGCGGCCAGGTGTGGAGATGAACAGCGATCTCGTGATAGCGCGCCCGTTTCCTTCCTCAGTGCCGCATGAAGACTCCGTGCTATGGGGTGCTCTACGCACGTAGTCCGTCCAGCAGTGTCAATGGCACAGCGTGGATAGGAGCAAGGCTCGGAGGACGGCTGATGAGAGACGTTGTCAGTAGGCTAGGACTCATAACTTTAGGAGACAGGTAAATGCACCCCGAGCAATGATTCAAGTTTCAAAATTTCCAATGCAAACTCACTGCAGTCCGTTGTATCTTTTCAGCGCCAGAACATGCTTTCGAAAGTTATTGGTGTTCCCTCTGAATCTGTACATTCGCCTGGTATCACGGTCGCGAGCTTTCCGGTCGTTTCAACCAGTTGGTCTGAGCATCGAACTTCAAGTACAGTCCTTGTCGGTACAACAGCAGAAAACAACGGAACATCATAGAACTAGATAGACGACTGATGTGGCATGGCAGTTTGAGTGGAAACTTCAAGAAAGCGGTCATGCTGTCATATTCCCACGGATTTCTTGGCCAGTCGCCGACAGCGAGCGCAGCTGTGACTGCCACGTCTGCTATATCATCCACTGTATACTGGCTAGGCAACACCGAGCATGATGCTGGGAGGGTCGAATGGTACGCCGTGGTTTCAGGGCATCAAAGCTGGAAATGCTCGTACAAAGTGCCTGCGATCCGACACTCCATGAGCCCAACTACGCCATTCACCTTGAGATCGCTGAATTAATCAACACCAAGAAAGCTAATACGTCTGTTAATCCTGCTCTTGCAATCTCTAATTCTGACATTGAATTAGCCCTCGCGAAGCAGCGATGCTCATAGCACATCTATCAAACCACCGAAACCCGCATATCGCCATCCTTGCACTCGCGCTTCTCGATACCGTCGTCCAATCGTGCGGCTACCCATTTCACCTCCAGATTTCAACCAAAGAATTCCTGAACGAGCTCGTTCGTCGATTCCCTGAACGCCCACCTCCTTTCCCTGGTCCAGTCATGTCACGGATTCTAGAGCTCATCCATCGATGGAAGGAGGGTATCTGCTCTGATTCCCGCTGGAAAGAGGACTTGGGGAATATCAAGGATATGCACCGGCTTCTTACATTCAAAGGGTACCGCTTTAGGGAGATTCCCCGCCGCGTGGAAGCGCCCCCGACGATGGTGAGTTCGTCTGTGGCTCATGTCTATCTCATGCGTTCATATGACGGTGTAGAATATTAAATCTGCCGACGAGCTTGAGTCGGAAGATCGAGAAGCACAATCTGCTAAACTCCAGGAACTTATCCGGAGAGGTACCCCGCGGGATCTGGTAGCCGCGCAAGAACTCATGAAGTCCCTCGCTGGCGCGAACCCGGAAGCAAAACCCGACTACCGCTCTCAAGCCATGACAGAGCTCAATAAGCTCGAGAGTAAAGTCATTCTACTCAATGAGATGCTCGATAACGTCGATACTACACAAGGGGAGAAGTTCGCATCGGGAGACGCGTATGACGTGTGTCGATATTCTACTTGGAAAGTTGTATAAATTTCTCACTCGTTGTAACAGCAAGTCGCATCGATATTGAAGTCTGCCCGTCCGAAGCTCCAGAAATGGGTCTCGGACGCAGAAACAGACGACCCTGAGTCGTTAGGTACGTCCGTTCCTTATTCTCCGGCATAGTTCTTATATGCTACTCAGACGCCTTCCTCCAAATCAACGACCGAATCAAACAACGTCGTCACCCGCTTCGAGGCCTTCAAGAAAGGCGACTACAGCATATCCGCCGTCCCAGCTGAACTCGCACAAACTGAAGGGTCCCTCATTAATTTCGATGATACCTCGCATTCATCATCACAAGTCGCACCAGTAGATGATCTAGCTTCATTATTTGCCTCGCCGCCACAACCCCAATCTTATGCCCGACCATCAAGTGCTAGCGCAATGTTCGCCTCACAACTCAGCGCCTCCTTGACGAACAACGCTTCTTCCTCTACTTCATCACCCGTTCCGAATACCCCATCGCCACAGCCCCAGTTCGGGTCTATCATGCTCGCGCCTACCCCACCGCGGATAACGTCACCCAGTTATTTCGGGGGTAATAACGGAGGTACGAGCCCTCCGAATTCAAGCTCGTCGTTTGGAATGGGTCCTCCTGGATTGGGTATGAGTAGGCCACCAGCGACAGGCATGAGCACGGTGCAAAATGGAGGTTTGGGTATTCCTATGAGCACACCGGGATCAAGGGTGAGTATGGGCGCGATGATGGGGCAGACGCAACCTACTTCGACGCCACCGACGCAGCAGGGGAAGGATCCGTTTGCAGATCTGGCGGGGTTGTTTTAGGTACCTGTCGTGTTGTGCTTGTGCTTTACATGGGTGGGGTGATCGATACTCGAATCCGGATGTTGTGCGGTTTTGGATCTTGTTATTCTCGGAGGCAAATATAACTTGGACTGAAATAGTATTTATTGCTCGACGTCTACAGAACGATGACTGCTTGCTGGTAATTTTGCAATGTTGAGAGTTATAGTGTTCCCGAACCTAAAACTTGGTATTTATTTGCGTGTGAAACTTGCAAGGCTGTGCATGTGCGACTCTTTAAGCTTGAGTCAACGATTCGGCCTGTTCTGTTCTCGTCTACATTCTTCAATACCATCAATGACGGTGGCCTAAATATCTAATGCACAAATCGTTATGTCCATAATAAATTTTGCATAAGATATTTAGACCTTATTGCACAAATTGCGGGCGGTTCCCCATGACAAAGGCATAGGCGTCGAAAACTACGGTGTCGGTGTCAAGAAACTAGTTCGACATCTTGAAACTCGATATCATTGTCAATTCTTTACTCAACCATATACGTCGAGTTGACCTCCATCGATGCATCTCTAGCATAATCCGTGACCCCGGTGTCCACTCGATGCTGGATCCACGACGTACTAGTTTTCCCCTGGGTGGCTGAGCTCAATCCTTATCGTCCACCAAGATGGGGCCACAGTCATCCACATATGTCACGTCTGCCATTGATCAGTGTTTGCTAATGGAATTCTCTTCGTAGCATTGCGTATAACGGATAATGAAGCCTTCGAGCGGATGTGGAAGCTTTAACAATGCATTCGTGCTTTGTCGTGGCTCGCGTCCACTAGTCCACCAACAAAGCGTTGTTGTATGGACCCCACAAGCGTCTGTCCACCGCAAAGCACAATGTCATTTCCACCTCTGGGAATCGTATATAGTCCAGCCCGAATGCCTACCTGGTATCATCATCACCCCAAGGAGAATCAGGCATTCACCGAAGACAGAATCAAGCAGCACCCTCTATAATCAACTTTCAAATGTCTCCTACCAAGGTGAGCCTAATCACGAGCATACTTTATGCACTAGGACTGAATCTGAAAATGTGTAGGTCTATGTTTGCTCTCAGGAGAAGTGCGGCGAAACTTTCACCAAGTTCACGGAATTCAAGAGACATGAGGCTAGGCATGCAGAAAAGTACGTGTTTATCCTACATGCTAGACTGGTCACTCACATGAGCCTGCATCCAGCGTGTACACCTGCACCTTTCCGGGATGTGACTTTGCGACGCTGATAAAAAGAAGCTTCGATGTCCACTCCGCTAAACAGTATGTGCTCGTGCGTTATCATCAATGAGTTCATCTGATTACCAAATTTAGTACCGGCGAGCAACGCTATGGTTGCCCTCATGATTGCACCTTTAGGACCCACGATCCTTCTGCCTTGACGCGCCATCGCAAAACAAAACATGGATATGTTCCTCTTCCGCGCAGCGGACGCGGCGGCGGTCGTGTCGCTGCCCCCTCCGCATCAGACAGGACTCCATCGTCCCAGCCCTCTGCTTCGTCCTACCAATCACACCCTCACAGCCAAGACCCGTCGTTGGTCTTCTATGACCCGGTGGATAGTGAGGACGACTTTACCATGTTTAGCGAACCCGTGACGACGGCCAATGGGTGGACTGAGGGCTGCATGTGCCCCGAATTCATGCAAAGACGCCCTTCGGAGATGTTGGGTTATGCATATAGGCAATATTAGTTTGCATAAACTCAAGGTGGCTTGTGTTCGTCGGCAGTAAAACCCTCCCCTCGTTGTATACATCTATTATTTTTCACTTAAAAGCACTTTACGATGTCGTCTAAAGGCTTATACACTCTTTTATAAATGCACTAGTAATCATACGCTCTTTTCTAAATCATGATGTTCCTCAAACATACTATGGGCCCCTGCTTTCGGGGTCCTTCCGTGACTGTAAAGGACTTGCTTTCCTCCGCATTGCGCAACTAGAGGGGCATGAATGCCCCTGAATCAAACACAACCAGCTCTGCAGCGCCTGACTCCGACTCTACCTTCGTCCCTCAGCTTTCATCTTACAATGACTGCATGATTTGAAAACCTGATTGTTCACTAAACGATGGTCAACTCTAGCTTAGTCTTTGACTCTCGTTATCAGGATTGCCTGCGTGACTGACTCTATGCAAACCTTGGAAAATGGGAGTTGAGCAGCTTATTGTGCCCCACCGAATTTTTCAAAGACCAAGCCTTGGTGATATGGTGCGGCTTTTGTTTTTGTGACGTCGACCAGCTGGCACCTCTATCCAGGGTATTTTGTCGATTCAATCTTTGCAAAATCTACCAAAACAAGTGGACTGGTCACGAGTTTACAAGGTGAGCGTCATGAGAGCTCGGAATAATTACATCGATTCCGGATATATATACTGTATGTTGTGAGTATTGTGTACTCCTCGAATGTCTAAGAATAAACTGCAGTTCAGCGTCTACACGGTGACAGATGGGCTTTCTCGGACCTCGGTTTAGAGTCAGTACTCCATTAGTTGCCCTTCGCTTAAGATAAAACGCAATCCTACTCTCCTCTCCTTCTCCATCTTCCTCGTATGAGAACGACGTCCACATAGCCGTGCAATCATCAATAACCGATCCTGCTAAACCATACAAAAAGTTAGCCAATCATAATAATAATCCATGATAAATATTCCGCCGCTCTTCAGTACTCAGTTATAATGCTTCACCACAATCCCCTCGATAACCTCCTCCTCAACACCACGTTCCACCCCATTCTTGAGATCAGACCTCCCATACGCCGCCGTCCTTCCCTTTCTCCACGTCTCGCACAATGGCGAATCCTCGTCGAGACACTGGCGCTCAATCCCAACGTGCTTTAACACAGGGCTTTCAGCACACGACAGCAAGCGAACGTCGTCGTTTGCCATCGCAAAGTAGTATGCACCCAGACGGTCGTAGGCGTGTTGGTCCGAGGGGGGCTGGATGACGCGATGGATCGTGGGCTTGTAGTATCCGCCTGTGAAGAATGTCATCATGTAGCCTGTATTGATGACCTATGGCGGAATATCAGCTTCGCAGATATCATGATAATTTTTTACGGGCGTACCAAACCGTTGTCAATGTGTCTGACCCATTTCCATTTCCCGTCGGGACCTAGGATTTGCAGCCCTCCGACAGGCTGACTCCATAGAATGGTGATGCTGCCGGTGTCTGCGCGATTCAGGAGACGAGTGTGAAGTAAAAGATGTATCAAGTGTACCTGTGTGTCCCTTCAACCAGACATTCTTTGATTTCTCCTCTTCATCATTCGAGCGCCTATAGCTTGGCAGGAGTCCATAAGTTAAGAGGCAGTTGGGAAGAAAGGGCCTTTACTATTTCATGAACGTGACTGCAAATGTGCTCATCGATCTAGGACTAGATACAGGAAAAGAAAGACTAACCAGAGGTATCTCCTGTTCGGTCAAAGTTGTGTTTTTCCACCAAAGTTTCCTCGGGCAGCTCGAGGCTTAACGCAATCAAGCTGTATGGTAGCGCTCATGAGCTGAAAAATCAAACAAGGGGCTCGCGGTAGAACTGACCGAAGAATCGGGTGGAGAATATTAAAGTGATTATGGCGAGCGAAATGATCTATCTCCGGAAGGAAGGGGCGCAAGGCTGTGGGATGGGGACGGTTTTCTACATTGAGGTTTACTGCCGAAGCGTAAAAAGCACCCATCTCAGGAGTATTCCTAACACCCACTTGCATAGTTCTCAATCTGATCGTGAATTTGATTCTCCGTGTCGACTCTCTGAAGGGAGCAATAAGCATCACAAACGTTGTTCCTCGTGGAATATGACGCACCCAGAATTGACGAAGTTTATAGCCTGCATAAGACCCAACTTCCTCGATACTGGCGGTGTATGTCTTCTTTTCATCCAGAGAGACGTCATTGAAAGGAACACCAGCTATGTCAAAGATTCTGTCACGCTACAACATCGATTCAGAGACCTTTAAGCATGAGTCACGAGGAAGGGACGTACCTGAGCTTGGGTATAACCATGATTGATGGCGTAGAGAAAGCCATGGGTGCGTAGTGCATCTCGGAGCTGCGGATAGAGCTGTGCACGTCCTTCAGGGTGTATGGGCTTTAGAAAGATCGATGACGGGAAGGTCCGCAAATTCCACTAGACGGGGAGTCGTTAGACAAATGTATCGTATTGATCAGACATTCTCTTACAGTCCTCCTTTGTTTCTGGTGGGGGGAAGTAGTGCGCACATTCTGGCAGAGTTGAACTGGGCATATCTTTGGGGAGAGTACACTGGGGAGGCTGCTAAGGGAGGCAGATAAATACCTGCAATACGGATTTTTGAGGACATGATAAGCGATCTGAAATAGATGTGGCACTGTGAGTTGTGGCCATGGGTTCCATGTAGTGTTTTTGGCAGAAGAACCCGTCTGTGGAAGCTGGTTGTGCGGCCCAGTGCCAGCGTGGCAGGTAGCAGACTGAATGGAAATTTTCGATGACACTTCAACTGTGCTACGTTGATATGAGACCACTAGATGGCGAGTCCGTGGCAAAACTCATATGGAGGGAGGTGGCATAACCTGGCAGCAGTCCAGGGTATCGGAGACTCGGACCCGCGGAGATGAAATTTATATCTGACAGTGCAGTGATAGCACAGTTAGAATTCAATAGAACATGGAAACCGATGTCCCTGAAGTAAGATTGTGCACGCTGGAGGAAGTTCCCTTTCATCACTGATCGTTGATCAATGACAATTTCGACATTGCTGTCGAGACTGCACAGGATCTTGAAGCATCATTTGCGTGGGTACCTCCGCTCTCGACCGAGCCTCGTAATGAGATGATCTTCTTGTTGGTCTAGAGTATCTCGCCTGACGACATCGCCGCTGAATTTGCGGCTCTCAAGGAGTTGAAGAGGACTGGAGGAGACGATGGCTTTTGACGAAGTTGAAGTGCTCGAGGGAATGTTGACGAATTGAACCGGGTCGAACAAGGAATACTTCCACAGGCTATTCTAGATGAGGTTGAGGTGATCAATTACAATGGCGAGGATGACGGATGGGACGATAAAGTTTCATCGTTAGGAATGTTATACACATAGTCAGAGTTCTAACCGCCCCGGGGAAAAAAAACAAGTTTGCCAAATCTGCCTCCTACAGTAGCCCCATGGGAGTGCTGCGGCGTATCGAGTCCATTTTTATCGTGAATATCACTCGCTGATGAGTCGAATGTGAGCAAGTTACTAGTATGCCTGGGAACAAGCTGAAAAAATGACGATAATACTACATGGAGGGAAAAAGCTACAAATTATTAGTGCAATTGAGGATGGGTATGGTTGACGATGAGTAGGGAGCCGGCGAAGCGCACGCACGTGATATTCATTAGACGGGAGCGAGAAAAGAAGAGAATCGAGGTAGGCAGTACTTGATGATGAGTACTAGTTGAAAATGATGACGAAGGAGCTGGGAATAGTGGCCAATCCGATTCGGGATATTACTCGTCAGTTTCAAGTACCAACCGGAGAGTTGACGTTGAGAATACACCGAGATCAGCGTCAAATATTTAGTGAATGAAATATAAATTACTGCATGTCCAGATGTACTTGACTGAGGTCGACATATGGTACTGGTATTGAATTGATAGTACTCCGAGGTATCGCGTGTCATGAGAACGTGACCTGGGTAACCGCAGTTCAGCGTCTACACGGTGACTGTGCTTTCTCGGTTCGGAGTTAGTACGTATACTTAGTACTTGCCCTTCTCTAATATGCTACACCTGTTCAATTTCAACCCATGCCTTTTCTCCCTTACACCGCGCGTTTTCTCAGAAAATTAAATGTCTACAACTTCATAACTCGAACTATTCTCCCAATAAAACGCAATCCTACTCTCTTATCCTTCTCCATCCTCCTCGCAATTTACCTAGCAACAGAGATAATATTCTCCATATCATTTTTCGCCGCTCTTACTGGATGGCTACCCGCTTTCCCTGCAACATGGAGATTCCTACTCATGCTCCTCTTCGTAGTGCCCATATTCACCTTCATTCAACTATTGCGACTTCTATCTCCACTACTCTCAAACAGACGGAATGGAGGCATGGGTGCTTCCCAGCATAGATATGTCATGCTCCAGCGAGGCACTATCGATGGCTCATTCGACGTTGCCGACGAAGAACATGCGTTGCTGGAAACAGCTGAAGGAGGTAGTGAGCGCTCTTCTAGACCTGTGTCTCCGACTGCGCATCTGGTGGCGCATCGTAAATCATGGTGGATACAGCTTCTAGCATACACTATCCTGTTTTGTGCGAGCATCTGGGTCGGAGCTCATTATGAACGACCTGGTGACGTGCGTTACAGAGATGCAGTCCAGTCCGCCGTTGCACATCCGTTAAGACAAGGCTACGGAAAACAAGGCGAGCTTCTTCGAATCTGTGGATTCGAAGTTAGCTCATACATTTTCAGATAAAATATTCATCGCTGCCTTATTCTACAACAACGAACTAGTCATACCCTACTGGCACAACTCTCTCATCAAAGCTATTCACTATCTCGGTCCAGACAATGTCTTTGTCTCTATCGTCGAGAGTCACAGTACCGATACTTCCCCTGAGCTTCTTCAAAAACTAGATGCAGACCTTGCACACATGGGCGTGTCCCGGCGCATACTCACAGGAGACGAGACCGTAACCAGACCAGACTATTTGGGTGGGAGGGAGCGCATCGAATTCTTGGCCGCCACCCGTAACCGCGCACTCGAGCCCCTAATGGAAGGAGGATATGATAAAGTCGTCTTCTCGAATGACATATTTATTGAGCCCGAAACCTTGGTGGAGTTATTAGAGACAAATGATGGAAACTACGACATGGCATGCGGTCTAGACTTTGGGCATTTCGGGTACGCTCATCCTGCTCCTCCATACTCATCATTCTGATACCTCAAAGCGCATATGATATGTGGGTTCTCCGAGATCGACAGGCAAAGCTCACTAGTGGAATGTGAGTGCGCATTTCCAATTCATGAAGCCATGTCTAATTCACATCGAAGATGGCCATATTTCTTCGACGAAGCCGACTATCGCGCGATGCAGACAGACTCTCCCGCGCCTGTATTTTCCTGCTGGAACGGTATCGTCGTGTTTGCCGCTGATCCTCTCGTTCCCATACCCTTACGCTCCAACCGCACGCTTTCCACCGACCCTTTACCATACGAATTACCCTCGACTCACCCAGCAGCACAAGATCCATCCATGCGCGGGACCAGCCCCGCTCTGACACCCCCCGATGAAGTTCCGCGCATCTGCACCAGGAGAATGTTTCTCGTCAGAAAGCTTCTTACTACCATACGACCTGAGACGACAGTTCAATCTACAGCGCATATACGTGAACCCGAGGGTAATTACTGCGTACAGATGGAGGTATGTCACGCAGCATGTTGTCTGGAGCGTGGCTTATGCATCATCGTTACGCAGATATTATGCATATTTCAAATGGTTCATGCGCCATCCTGTACTCCAGTGGTGGATCGAGAAGGTGTATGATGGGGCGTGGATGGCGAGGACTGTGTTTGTTGTAGGCGATGCTACTCAGGTGTATCGATGGGACGGGGGGGATTGTCATCCGTGGTTTTGAGCTGGTCATGAGATTACGTGTAGGTTGCTAGGACTCGGACATACCCACTTATTGACTATATGCAATGTCCATATAGTATTATTACCTGGCACCGTCGCAGTGTCACCGTCTGCGTACATAGGGTCGCTGGACATTTAATACTTATCAATACACTCCCCTTGTTTGGGTTTGTGGATCACCCAGAGCTGATGCTTACTTGGTCTCGGCCCATCTGCTACTCTCTTCCCCAACGAGATCTGGTGGAGAGACACGGACACCAACAAAGTTGATATAAATTGTGAGGCTCTATTAATTTTGATCTGCTTGCTGAGAATATGGCAATAGTATTGTCATGCTTACAGCCGTTTGCAAACACTAGGCCAATAATTCCGTCGTCAAAATTCAAACAGGACAGACTTACAACGATCAGGTACCACTGGACTCTGGGTACGTCACAGTGCCCTATAACATCTGACGGTACATTGTACGCAACGCGGTTGATTGTCGGAAGCTGAAATTTGAAAGTTCGTGGTTCGACTTCAAGTTGGCTTGCCGACTATGTTCTTCTTTTTCGGGACTGGCCAGGACTGGCCTAGCGTTCTGCAAACAGCCGTGACATCGATACGGAGGTATAAACTGATACAGGCGTGTGCGGGATTGCATCGTTTAAAGGATGACTCGGAGAATGGAAATTCAGGGCAGAGGAAGCCAGGTACAGCTATTTTAGTCATCATGTCTCGATAGCTCAACTGACTTTTGAAAGAAACAGCATAAATGTGGCGTACTTGGCTGCCCCTCAACTCAGAGTTGGTCTATGCCACTATCAGCACGTCTATAAGGCGTGAGGAGCGGTGAGTCGGGTTATGTTTGACGCGAAGGTCAGGACGGTTTCCATCGCCTTGCCAAGACCAGTGACGGATATACAAATTTACAATGAATAGTTTCAATATATTTTTCAGAGCAATTAATGACCATGCGTTTGTTTCCAGAGTCACACTGTATGGCCTGCTCTGACTTGCCACGTCAGCCTGGACTAGATATATATTTTGAAGCTGGTTTTCGACCCTGGTTCATATTCTCTCTCCCGGACTAATAACTGTATAATGAGACATATCCTGGCAGGTTTGGTGCTCTCGAGCACGCTTGCTGCCCGTGCGTGGGCAGGGCAACCAACTCAGATTTATGGTGTTAATTTGGGTTCATGGTAAGCCTTGCTCTACGCCTCCGACCGACTATTTAACTCAAGTAGTAGCGCAGGTTAGTCCTGGAGCCATGGATGCTCCCTCAAGGTGATAAACCAATGAACTTTGCGAATACGCGTTCACTGAACAATGTTTTTAGAGTGGTTGGATATGGGCGGACAGTCATGTGCTCAGTGTTCATCATGCATTGCAACTGAGTCGTACGTTCCAATCCTATGCTGTTTTTATGTGAATTTTAATTTGTTCTGCGATAATCTAGGTCATTTGCAAGGGCGTATCCTGACACCGTCGACGCCGAATTTGCTCAACATTGGGACACATGGTTTACGCAGGACGATGTCAATACACTGAAGGCGGCCGGTATTAACACCGTCAGGGTTCCTGTGAGTCGATTCTAAGGAACTTGGCTAAACTAATGTTGGACGATTTGATCCGCTTTATCCCGTGCAAATTTGAATGTGTCATGCAACGCGTTCATTCATAGCTGGGATATTGGATCGTGGAGGCTTTAGTCGATAGGTCGCACGAATCATACCCTCGGGGCGGTCTTGATTATTTGGTGAGACGCTCTACTGTAGTTTAATTCTCTAGTTAAACTCGAGCATATTTACTAGCGTCGGGGCTTGGGCTGGCTGAAAGATGCCGGGATCCAAGCGATCCTGGATCATCACGCATTACCCGGGGTTCAAACGGCTGGACAAATGTTCACTGGAAAGCGAGTTCCCATTTATTTGTTATCTGTTCTGTACTGAGATTGATTTTTACCAGTTGCACTACCGATGTTCAATTCTACGTGAGCTATTTTGCAGCTGGTAAAAGCAACAACTACAAATCCTCACATACAGACTCCGTACAACTATCACCGTGCACTGGTGTGGACAGCGGTCATGACTGCGCTTTCTCACCTGGACCCTAATTTTGGGAGTGTCTTTGCGATCGAGGCAATCAATGAACCCATTATGAACGCGACTCTAACACCTAACTATGGCACCTGTGTGTATCACTCATCGTTTTTTTATTTGTGCCCTCATGATTCCTGAACTTTTCGTACAGTCCAAAAGAACTTCGTCGAGGTAATGCGTGCAGTTGAGCTCACACTCGGAATATTTGTGCCGTCATCCAGTTTATCACTATCGGTATCAGCATCCGTCTCGAACAACTTCACCGCTGCATTGAGTGCGACATCTTCAGCAACCATATTCTCGGCGGAGGTGCAAGCGGCACTTTTAGACGCCGTTCCGATTTTACTAGAGATTGGAGTAGCGTGCGGTTTGCAGACCATATTCGAAGCATCACCCTTTCAGTGGTCCCGTGATTCATTGGTGGCGAAGTGAGTTCACCATAGGCCCTTGCTGGGATACATTGACAATGGCATGCATAGCTTTATGGATGTGAACTGGCAGCATGACAACCCTTCTAACCCGGCTGACGTGGCGATTGGCCCCCAAGCTTATGACAACCATTTGTATTACTCGTGAGTGTGCTGTTGACTACATCAAGTTCTCGTGATTTCTTAATCTTCTCTTTATAGGTTTGGCGTATGTCGTGTGCACGCAGCTTATTGCTTCGCATTAACATTTTTACAGGGAGTTGCGGCTGCTGACCCGAAGTCTTACATGATCAGTATCTGCAGTGCGTCTTCTTCGCTAGTTCGGCAACGACGTACTCATTTTGGTAAAGATCTTACACGTATCCAGGCTGACGCAGCGGTCGGCAACTCTCCGCTCTGGTTCGGAGAGTGGGGACTTCCGACACAGTTCAATGCTACGGATGCGTTCCTCTACCAGTGGGCCGACGCACAGAAGTTGGCCTACAGTAAAGGTGCTGGATGGATTGTACGTGTCTAATTGCGTTTGATCAAGACGTTGCTCAAAGAAGAATACTTCAGTTCTGGAACTTCAAAACTGAAATATCAAACCTCACCAACGGGAATGCCCTCGCAAGGCAATGGTTAGTCATGGCGCATCCCAAGGTGCTTTACGAATGATCTGACGGCCGTCCATGTAGGTCTTACCTTGAGGGGTTGAAACTCGGGTTCTTGACCCAGGACCCCGCGGCGCTCCACGATCCGAACGTGTGTGTTCCATACACGAACAGTACCACTAATAGCACTAGTTCATGATGTGCGTTCTTGGTAACTAAGCATGCTATAGCGCAGAGCGTACCTATATCTATCCCTGCTGACCCACCATTCTTTTGTCGACGTTCCTTACTGATTCATGCGTTAACTACCTGTGTGACATAATATATCACCTTTAACCTTTATAAAGCTTGGTGCCCAATTTAGTCGCCAAGGGTTGTAGCATGACAGGAGGACGAGGTCCACAGTCCATACCTGGCCCCCAATCTGATGAAAGTCGAAAGGTAGTAATGCATGGAGGGGAAGTCGGAAAGAGCTGAATGATGAATGCGGCCGAAGTTTAGAAAATCGCAATATCAAAACAAGGCAATTGGGCGGAGTGCATTATAGAGTCTGCTACGTAACTGTGGGTCGGGTCAACATCAAAGCTACAGTCCAACATGTGGGTACTACAAAGGTCTTTGAATGCGACCAAGCATAACTCCAAAATACTACTTCAAGTGGTAACAGAGCTGCAATCTCACAACACCCGCCAATGTGGTAAAACCATACCCTGCAGACGCATCTCACCATGGCTCATCCGGAACTGAATCGACAATCGGAATCTGTGCCCGAATAGCGGAAATTTCCTTCGCGTCGATGCGATACAATTCCATCAGCTCCATGATTTTGTCCAAGGTATCGCGGTCCGCGAGTTCCAGGAGCGTCAATTTCCTGTCATAACCCTGAATGCGATTATGGACCTCTCCGCTTGATGGTAATGCATAACAGGAAGCGACCGTGAGCTTGATAGTCCTACGAGACAGTTCCTGGCTGTCCGACATAAGATAAAGTGTCTGCAACACAAGGGTCAAATCGATGATGTACGCTATGAAGCGCTGGAACATCACGCCGCTGAGCAAGACGTGTCAACATTCTCTCGATCAACGATAAGTAGCAACACGTACGACAGCTGGTACACGTCATGAACCCATTTCGCGATTACAGTCCTCCTGTGCATAATCATGAGATAAAAATCCATTCATAAGAAGAATTGGCCTACATGGTCCCGTCAAGATTAGTAGTAGGTCCAAGTTCTAGCACGCCCACCATATTCACCACCAACTCCCTAAAATCATCGCTGTACAAGTACTGTACACAAATCACGTCAGAATACGTGCGATGATAACGAAGATAGACATTACACGATGAGGGTCACGGAAGTTCCACACATTAACGATGTCAGTGTGAAGCACACGTAGGCAGTCCCGCATCGCACGGTTTTGGAATGTTGCGCATAATGCCAGTGCCTTCCGATAACCTATAACCCACGGAAGTTCGGATTGCGTTTATGAACCACCAAGGCGGAATCGAGACGAACTTCTCTTGCCAACCCTGACACTGCGTGAATTTTCAGATAAGAATGAAGCAAGTGAGGCTTACTCAATTGATGCTTTGATTTTGAGTCCAGGATCCACTCGCTGGGCGATGGCAGTCATCAGCGACGCCTCGGTCGCAACATGCTTACAAACACGCTCCTCGGTTATCTGGATTAGACGAGCCAGCGTCTCCGCATGCTCTTCCTTTGCTGGATTCTTTATTATTAGGAGTATTAAAGACGATCACAGTAGTGATACCCACTGGAGACCGTGGCATACGGGACATCCGACCCTGCAAATTTCTCTAGGGGTCCGATGCAAATTTCTTTTAACTCAGCGTCTGCTTTGTTCTTGACGAGTTCCCTGACGGCGTTGGAGCTCAATCCCACAAGAGATGATTTATCCAGAGTACGCTCGACGCGGTCGATGAAACTATCATATTTAGTGAAAACGACGACGACAGGAACTTGACCACCGGTAAGCTCCAACTTAGTAGAGAGATAGCTATTGATCCACTCACTATTTCCCAGCTGTCCACCACGCTTCAATGTCAAGAAATCCTCCGTGCCCGTCTCCAGTAAACGCCCGCCTGCGCGGGGTATTTCAAAGCAAAGCCTTCCGTGTATTTTGTCAGCTAATTATACGGAATCATTAATATAGAAACCGTACCAAACAGCATGTAGCTTGTCTTTCAAAGTATCCATGTTTCTTCGGCGTTCAATGAAATTTCGAACTATGTTCAGGTTGCCTTCCTCGCCCGGTTCAAAACCTTTGCTGTCGTGAAGAACGAACATATTGTTCTGTGGTGATGTAAACTCGTGGTTGATGTCGGCTTCGCCTGGTTTATCATGCGAAGCGATCTATGGAAACAGAATGAGTAACCCTTTGAGACATTGTGTCGTGTAGCCCACCGCTTCGTGCACTCCGAAGGCGCGGTTGATGAGCGAAGATTTACCAACACCGGTCTATTGGATACACTGAGTCAATACTCTGAGATCAACGAAACTTCGATACCTTTCCTATCACTAGAATTCGGAACCTGAGGAGTCCTTGGTGTCAACCTGGAGAACACACATCATAGTCATCCTCGCTCACCGAGGACAAATCTGAATGATCTCGTTGCTATGATGCGGGTCGGAAGAGTGATAACTCACATGCGCTGGTGCATTTGAGGACCCAGAAAATCCACCACTTGAGTAGTTGAAAGAGGAAGGCGGTACAGAATATACAGGAGCACTAATGGTGGAGGCGGACAATTTTTTCATGGCTGTGGTCAAAGTCTTCAGTTCATGATCAGGGTAGGGTAGACTGTCGGGTGGTTGTTCTGCTTGATCCGAGTCATTGGAACCACCGTGCGGGAAAGCTCCGGGGAAATCATCCGGTGCATCATCGGAAGGATCGTCAGGCGGTCTACTACAAGAGTCTTGAAGCTTATATAAGTGGATGGTTGACAAGCACTACGAACTATGCAGGATTACCTGGAGAGTGAAACCTATGCACGACAAAGTCAAGTACTTTATCTGCTGAAGGTCGAAGTTCGGGTTTGAATTGCAGACATTTTTGGATGAATTTCCAATCAGAGTCCATTATTTCAGGATGACCATCTGGACGCTGCGGTATACGGCCTTCGGATATCATGACAACAATACGAAATTCCAGCCTTTCAGATTTGATCTCATACCAAGGGGGCCGACCCGAGAGAATCTGTTCGATCAGTCCTCAGGGGAACATTTTGTCAATAATAAGCTCACTTGAAGCATTACACAACCAAAAGAGTAGATATCGGTTTTTTCTACCAACCCTAGGTCACGTACATCGTCCGATAAAACGAGTTCTGGTGCGGCATAGCGGACTGCACCTGGATGTATAGATGTCGCGACCAAGTGCGACTGGCCGATATGAGGCTGGATAATGGTGGAAAGACCAAAATCAATTAGCCTCGCATGGCCTCTCTTGTCGATCAGTATATTTGCCTGCATATTCATTAGTTTTCAAGAATGCCCCAGCAGCTATGGGCCCTCCTAGTATTGCCTAGGGTCCACTTTTTGCCTGTATTGATTCACTCACATGGATGTGGGAGTCCTGGACTCCCACTGTGTATGGGCCCATCCAGATATGTATGTGGATGTAGGAGTTCATGGACTCCATTGTACAGAGTGGGCTTCCAGGACTCCCACTGTATGTGGGGGTTAAAACACATTGGTTTTCGTTCTCTCATCATATACAGTGGCCTTCCAGGACTCCCACTGTGTATGGGAGTCAAAAACATCAGATCTCATTCTCTCATCGTACACAGTGGCCTTCCAGGACTCCCACTGTGTATGGGAGTCAAAACATCAGATCTCATTCTCTCATTGTACACAGTGGCCTTCCAGGACTCCCACTGTGTATGGGGGTCAAAAACATCAGATCTCATTCTCTCATCATACACAGTGGCCTTCCAGGACTCCCACTGTGTGTGGGGGTCAAAAAACATCAGTTTTCATTCTTTCATCATCCACAGTGGGCTTCCAGGACTCCCACTGTGTATGGGGGTAAAAACATCAGATCTCATTCCCTCATCATATACAGTGGGCTTCCAGGACTCCCACTGTGTATGGGGGTCAAAACGTCGGATCTCATGCATGCACTGACTTAGAAAACCTTGGCAGAGCACAAGTCCGCAAACCGATTCACTCTAAGGAGCTTGAGGTATTGAGCAAGCTGCATACTTTGATTAGTTAGTTTCTTGCAGAGCCTGCAGTACCTGTTTACATTCTGAAATATACTGACAGGACGAAGGTGAAGGAGGCTTATCGATCATCGATCATCTATTCCACAACGCTGAAGCCTTTATGATCGGATTGATCCAACATGAGTATTTCATGCGGAGCTTATTCCATTTATTCCCGACTAGTCAAAGATGTTGGTTTTTATCTTTTCATTATACACAGTGGGCTTCCAGGACTCCCACTGTGTATGGGGGTCAAAAAATAGTGGATCTCATTCCCTCATCATATACAGTGGCCTTCCAGGACTCCCACTGTGTGTGGGGGTCAAAAAACATCGGTTTTTATTCTCTCATCATATACAGTGGGCTTCCAGGACTCCCACTGTGTATGGGGGTAAAACACATCAGATCTCATTCTCTCATCATATACAGTGGCCTTCCAGGACTCCCACTGTGTATGGAGGTAAAACACATCAGATCTCATTCTCTCATTGTACACAGTGGGCTTCCAGGACTCCCACTGTGTATGGGAGTCAAAAACATCAGATCTCATTCTCTCATCATCCACAGTGGCCTTCCAGGACTCCCACTGTGTGTGGGGGTCAAAAAACATCGGTTTTCATTCTCTCATTGTACACAGTGGGCTTCCAGGACTCCCACTGTGTATGGGGGTAAAACACATCAGATCTCATTCTCTCATTGTACACAGTGGGCTTCCAGGACTCCCACTGTGTATGGGAGTCAAAAACATCGGATCTCATTCTCTCATCATCCACAGTGGGCTTCCAGGACTCCCACTGTGTATGGGAGTCAAAAACATCGGATCTCATTCTCTCATCATCCACAGTGGCCTTCCAGGACTCCCACTGTGTGTGGGGGTCAAAAACATCGGATCTCATTCTCTCATCATACACAGTGGGCTTCCAGGACTCCCACTGTGTATGGGGGTCAAAAACATCGGATCTCATTCTCTCATCATCCACAGTGGCCTTCCAGGACTCCCACTGTGTATGGGAGTCAAAAACATTGGATCTCATGCATGCACTGACTTGGAAAACCTTAGCAGAGAACAAGTCCACAAACTGATTCGCTCTAAGGAAGAACTCAGACAGTTCTACTGTAAGTTCCTTCATATTTTGCAATAATGGGTTTCAAAGTTCGCTGAACTTAGATGCACATGCAGTAAACACATTGTAAGGTAGGCTTCACTCATACCCATCGACATCACATAACATGACATACCTATGACATTCTGTTACATTGTGTGACCTTCAGCGCGCGAGGAAAAGATAACAACCCTTGAAGCTTCTATCATCTATTGAGGTATCTGGAGGTATACTAACAATATGTTAAAGTGTTTAGGACATGAATTCAACAAGTGTTGTCAACCAAACCCGCATCCTTCAAATCCTGCATGATTGTCTCAGGTAAAACTTGATGACCGCGATACTTCTTCAAGGCCCATGCCGCTTGCTTTCCGTTTAGCCCTTTCTATAGGCATCCATAAATCTCAATGAGCGAGCAGAAAACCTAGCATATCATAGTGTCAGCATGCTACCAATGGAACCATGATTCACAACAAGGACTCATGACAAATGGCAAGCAGTGGAACTGAGTCCAAAGACTGAAGGACATTGTGTTCGAGATCAACTTCTTTCAACGATGCGGGAAGTTTGCGATAAATTCATTTCGAGTAGCCCCAACATTGCTCAATGAAATTGAGCTCACAGTGAAACTTCAGGAAAAAGATTGCTCGAAAGCCATGCACTTTGCAAGCAACCTCAAGTAGTGACTTGACACTAACAAAATCAGGTTCGTTGTAGAGCATTCTTCGACAGCAGCAACATGTGGCCCCCTTCTTACACTGAAATTTCGGGCACTCTGCCCGAATTTTCAGTGCCCCCTCATAACCTCGCTCCTCAAGTATCACTCCCATCCCTTTGAACACTCCAGCACACTCGTGACCTTCCGGATAACACAGGGACTGCGACGAACCATCTGCGAACTTGCCATTACCCATCGGGACCTTCTTCTTCAATGGTACACCATCTGGGCCATGCACAACCTTTCTGTTTTCATCAACTATATTCACCTCCACACCCCAGTTTTTCTGCTGCCATCCTTCGCCCCAATCTGTACCATCCCACTTATCCCCAGTGCTTTGGGAAAAAATTAGGCATGTGCCGTGCAGACAGTGCATCATCGGCTCGTTTAAGGTGCGTGGTTGCATTGTCAAATACAATGATGTGATCCTCGTCCGGTTAGTGTCTCCCAAGGATTTCCATAGCATTGGATGCCTGCTTGAGGAATATACAGGCAACGGTAGACATATATTGCAAGATGGGTAGGCTGACGTGGGGGTATATAATATAGACGGGTGGGCCCAGGAGAATGATAATTGTAGACATGATGGAGCTCAGCTAGTTGTATATCATCCAAATCAAAGGAGGTAATTATTCAAAGTCATCTAATGATGTGGTATGGCACAGAGCTTTGCAAAGGGGTGAAGTGGAAACTTGAGCGAAGTGTACCGAGTTCCAAGACCCGGGTCTCGACAAACAACTATGTGATGTCCAGCACACTTCCGATCGTCTGGTATTTCATTGAGCAATGGACAATAATAGCCAAATGCCAAGTTCCGACTACCGAAAATCGAGTGAAGTGTACCAATATCTGAGCCCCAACTATTGAATCCCGGAAATCGACCATCGAGTTACGACTATCGAGTCATGAAACCCGAGTCCCAAAGCCCGAGATTTGAGTCCTGAAACCCGACGCCTGACCATTGAATCCCGACAATTGAGTATCGAGTCCCAACCAACGAGTCCCATATATCGAGTCCTGACCATCGAGACCCAACACCCAACACCCGAGATTGGAGACTCAAGTTCCGACTATGGAGTCCCGGGTATCGAAAATTGAGTGAAGTGTACCGAGATCCGAGGCCTGGGTCTCAACAAACAAATATCTGACATCCAACAGACTTCCAATCATCTGGTATTTCATTGAGCAATAGATGATAATAGATAATAGATCTTCGAATGCTAAGGTCATCCAAGGCTCCCTTATCTGATCCTCTCTATCTCCACCCCCTTTAACACCAAAGTGCAGACATTCAGGATTCAGCTTCTGATCTCACAAGATCAATTCAATCATGGATGTTTCTTCCACTTCTGATGATGAAATAACCCTCTTGCACACTTGGGCCCTGACTGTCACTCATGTGGCATGTGATTCTAAGCAATTTCTGTTAAATAGGGTAGGGTTAGACCAAGGTTATGGCTAGCTCAAGTGGTACATTTCGCACATTTTTAACATTTCTCAAAATGTTTAAATCAAGAGTGGTCCATTTTGCACATTTTGAGACACAGCAGAAATGTGCAAAACAGGGTGTGTCGATTTTACACATTTTGAGAGATGTCAAAAATGTGTGAAATTGACCCCCCATGTTTTGCACATTTTTGCTGTGTCTCAAAATGTTCGAATCAAGGGGCGTCCATTTCGCACATTTTTAACATCTCTCAAAATGTTCAAAACAGGGGGGGTCCATTTCGCACATTTTTGACATCTCTCAAAATGTGTAAAATCGACACACCCTGTTTTGCACATTTCTGCTGTGTCTCAAAATGTTCGAATCAAGGGGCGTCCATTTCGCACATTTTTAACATCT